TAGAAATACTCTCTCAAGATAACTTTGCAATTGCCTACACCGATGGTTCCTCAGACAGATCCCTCAGCAATGGAGGTGCCGGAATCCTCCTCCTCCTCCCAGATGGTAATAACTATAAACACAAAATTAACACAGGCATAATCGCCTCAAACTTAACAAGTGAACTCATGGCGATTAGAGAGGCCCTTATATTATACCAACAAGACCCAAATGTTATTGATTCTACAGAAAAAAGGTTTAGTAATCTTCTCAGATTTTAAATCAGCTATAGAAGTCATAAGAAACGAAGAGACCAACATCTCCTGTGATATTATTATCCTTCTAGAACAGCTGCACAGCAAAAGAAAATCATGTATCCTGCAATGGATACCCGCACATGTCAACATTGAGGGTAATGAATGAGCAGATATATATATATATATATATATATATATATATATATAGCCTCTCACCAAAGAAGCTAGAGACATCGATCATAAGTGCACCACAATCACACTTGACGATGCAGTAGCCCAACATAGAATTATGAATCACACTTTTAAAAAACCCCTAGTTACGGAATTTGACTGTCCCCGAATTATAACATCCACAATTGCCAGATTGAGAACTGAACACCTTAAGGGCATGAAAATTCACCCAGACAAGACAAGATCATATGTTCAATGCAAACACTGCGCAGATCTTCAACTCATGCCCAATCACATCTTGGAATGCCCAACCGTCGCAACAAAGTTACTAAAAAGGGGAATGGTCCCTCTGAGGGACTCTTTGCGGGAAATCCTGTACAGCCCTGATGCTCCCCGAATAGCAGAGGCAGTGATCAAGACTTTCGACGGAATTTAGTGATATCTACTGCATTTATTCATGGACACGAGAACAACAACAATATTTCTTATAGAAATGTTTCTTATTTTCGTATGCTTATAATTTTTAAAATTATGATTATATTTAAAACATTTTACACTTTTCTAAAGCCCCATTCCTTTATAAATAATGTGTAAAAGATTCGAATTATTTAATTTAAATTTAAAAGAATTATATATTCCTTTTTGAAAATTGTTTGTATTTGCAGCCCTCTAGAGAAATTTAACACCCCTGAGGCCTCTTAAAATAAAATAAAAAAACAGCAGAAACACATGCGTGCAAAGATTACATAAGAAACACTTACTTAAAGGAACATTTTTCCGAATTGTCCACGAAAGCTCTCTGATGCCTTCCGTAACTAATTCAAGTGAAAAAACCTTTTCATCTCTTTATCTTAAAAATTAAGAATTACAAAAGCTGTCTGGAAAGCGTAGAATCGAATTTCAAATATTACACCTGATGTAACAAAAGTTGTAAAAAATACAGCACCATTCTTTCCATTAAAAATTTTAATTAACACAATTTATTTGAAATTAGTATTTTGTAATATTTCCGTATAATTAGATGCTTAATGTTGCCTTAAATAAGATCTTTTTTACTTATTGTGAAATTAGATTTATGTTAAGCTCTATGAGAATTTGCAAATAAGCAATGTTAGTACAAATGCACTCAACTGGAGTGAGTGAATATTAACGTCACACTGTTCAGCTACACAAGGGCTTTGGGCGACGGACTACGTAATTTTGAACCATGGTCAAATGACGTGGACGACACCTGAGCTGGCACCCCCTCTCCTAACTACCACACCACACCACGGGAGGACGTTTCAGCTCTCGACAGATTTAACGTACATCGCTACCCTACACGGCGGGTCTTTAGTAATACTGGGCTCGAACTCATGACATGCCTGCCATGATCCGATACCTTGACCACTAGGCTACCACAGCCCCGCACTCAACTGGAAAAAATATTTTTAGGAAACCTTTGTCTGAAAATTTAATTAAATTTTTAAAAAAACTTTTGAATGTGGAAATGAATTTCCAGATGTCAAAGCTTATCTGAATCTTTCATTTCGGAATTTAACCCTTTAACCGGTCATTTTTTTAACACAAAATGTTTTAAGAAAGGGTACAGTTTTTATAGTGTAAAACTTTATACCGTATTTAATATAATGAGAAAATGAAAAAAATTCTTTTAATTTTACATTTTTAAGTTTTTACACCATTTTTGATGTGTAACATCTTTCCTCTCGGTTGCTGGATATTTGTTGGGAGTGAATTCGTGAAAAGGGATGGATGTGTGTAACAGGATGTGACGCAAGCGCGCGCTACTTGATTTGACCAATGAGAGTAAGTGGTTGTGTTTTTTCGCTACCCTCGCATGGATCTACACCCTGATTTTAAAACCACTTTTAACTTATGCTTCACCAATCTGGGCACACGCAGCAAGAACCAATATCAATCTCATTGAAATTTCCCAAAACGTTATTCTACGACAAATCCTCGATGCACATTGGTACATGAGGAACGCTGACATTAGATCAGCTCTTAACATTCCGACTATCAGGCAAACTATAAGAAATCTAGCTATTAACTTCTTCAGTAATATTGACGGGCATGAAAACCCATCTATTCAAGAGATCCCTACTTATCCAACATATCCCTTCATCCGTAGACCAAGAGATATCTTGGTCGATCCTGATTTTAATTAATTTTTAACTTTTTTCCCTCTTTTTTCTCTTCATTTTCCAATTTTCAAAATTTTGCTGCGTTACAACTCTGTTGAATCGCAGTGTGTTCTGATTGGCTGCATATCCTAGCAATGTACTTATACACCATTATCTGAACTCCTGGCTCGGCCAATAAAATCGCTCTCTTTCGTTCCACAGCCCATATTCCCACCTCCTGATATTTTTTCCCGCACTTTCTGATCTCGGTTCTTGCTGTAACCCGATTGGCCACTGTAACTCCGCCCACTTAATGGACGCTTCGAAAAACGATTTTCAGCTCTTAAAAGAGCTTTTTTGAATACTTATAACTTTTATTGTAATTTTTTCTCCCATTTAATTTTTTAAATTTCAAATTATTCATAAACTAAATTTTACTCTTATTCAAATACTTTTCTAAAAAGGGCAATGGTAAATTTTGTACAGTCATCTTTATTCCAGGATAGGAGATTTGAGTCCGACGGGACTATGTGCTCCAATATTCACCCTAACGTATACCCTCGCATGGGGGTACAACTCTAGCAGCCATTAAGCACTCGAGCGCTTGACTCTAAATCCGTTAGTCACGAAATTGGGGAGAAGTGCGGCAGAATGCTTATTTGAAAATGGACAAACAGTGATTTCGGTGGTCGTATACATTTCTTCGAATCAAACGGTTAAAAAAAATTAAAGATTTCCTGTGCATTTTGTACTGTCACCATATAACGAAGGTGGTTCTGCTCTTTTAAAAAAATTATCACTCGCTTCCCCTGATTTTGAGTGGTGATTTTAACTTTAACTTCAGTTTGCCAAAAGCTGAGCCGCTCATAGCTTTTATGAAAGATGAACTCAAGCTCGAAATAAACACAAATTAGAATGTTTCGACTGCTAACAGTGGTACTGTTATTAACGGTTTTTAAATACTTTGAAATCACAAGTATATGTGTCATATTTTAGTTATCATGAGTCTATTGTCTCCGCTCTTCCCCAAATTGAACAAGAATATGTTTTTTAATAAAATATTGCATTACTCCATTTGTTGATTAAAAACAATTTTCATTAAAGATATAATTATTCGATAGAAAATTATTTCCAATCCAACCCGATTCATATTTTTTTCAGGAAAAAGTTAATATTGCGTATTTATATATATATATATATATATATATATATATATATATATATATATATATATATATATATATATATATATATATATATATATATATATATATACTACGATAACGTGTCAGATGTTACACATCATATGCGACTACTGTAAGACTCGTTTCTTTTTTTTATTTTACAATTGTGGAACACAAAAATTCTTTAGTGTTTGCTTTTTGCAAGTGCACTCTGTATGTTGCCGCCCAGCGAATCCCGAGTAAGGCATGGTTGTTATCTTCTTCGGGAAAAGAAGTCGGACTTTCGCTTGTAATACATTCCCGTCTCGAATGGAAAGCAGCACACCCCTTCTGTTATATGCTGGGATCCGCATTTGTAATAAATGTCTCTATTCTTATATGTTTGTATTACATGTTTCTGTTCTTCCACTCTTATTTCGTTTGTACCCCAGTATAAAAATGCATTACAACAACAACCCTGTATTCTATGGAGAATTTTTCATATATCAGAACAATTTTGATGTTAGTACTTTGTGACGGGTCTTTTATCGCGATTTCTATTAATGTCCTCTTGGGGTTTCTTTGGGGCCGAAATGGCAATTCTTTCCAACCAACTCAAGAAGAAGAACGTGGTTATGTAAATTAGAAATCATATATATATATATTGGAAGTTAGTAGTAGAGCTAAGCCTATGTCCGGGTCTATGTCTAAGTGCAGAAGTGATTGCTAAGTGGGAAGTGAAGTCGCTAAGTTTAGAGTTAGCTGTAAGTGATAAGAGATAAAGTTTAGAAGAATCCTAACTCCGTGAAATAGCCTAACCGTACCGGTACTGACGAACCAAAGGTGGGTTCGAGGCTAGTAGGAACACTGTCGGATTAAAGCCACATCAGAACAGATAAAGAACGTAGCTGATTACCTAGGATATAGCGGTAAGCTATTTTTATATAAGCTATAAGGAAAGGGCGTATATTAGTGATAGAGGAATTAATCAGTGGTCAAGTACGCAACTATTTGGTAATATGTGTTGCGTCTTCTCATCCTAGATCAACTTAATTATTATTGCTGTGTATTGTGTTTAAACACACTAAGATCTTAATCAATAGATTTTAGAATGAACGATTTACCAAATGATAGAAGGAATAATTATAGGGGTAATTACGAGAATGGTCGTCAAAGGAACCATTATGGAGTATCTATATATGGAGTTGGACAATTTTTTGTTTGTTTGTTGTTTATTCGTTAGTTAAATTTACTTAGTCTAATAAACTAGTATAGTAAAAAAGAAATCACATTCTCAGAAATTAGACCATCCCATGTAGGATTCGAACCTACGACCTATGGATTAGAAGTCCAACGCGCTATCCGTTGCTCTTGAGGGACACAACGAACAACTTTCCTTTTCTATATATGCTGTTGAACTATTATTTTTGTTACTATTTATTCATTTTTTAGTTTAATTAATGAATTAATATTTGAAAAAACTGTAATAACATAAGTGTCATCCACTACAAGTTTTAAAAAATGTATTTGAACTTGAATGGATGAATAGAAAGTACTTTATCAACGATTAAAAATTTGAACAAGACATATATATTTTGGGAGAGAGTGGACTAATAGTTGTTGTTGTGTGTGTTTTTTTTTATCCTGGGAACATATGAAACACAAGTAAAGAACAGAATGCATACAATACAAATATAAGAATATACACATTTATTGCAGATGATGATCCCAGCATATACCAAGAAGGGGTGCGCTGCTTTTCCTTTCGAGATGGGAATCCATTTCAGGTGAAAGACCGACTTTTTCCCGAAGAAAATACAACCAAGTCTTACTCGGGATTCGAACCCGAACTCACTCGGTTACAAGCCGAGAGTCATAGCCACCATACTGGCAGGGCGACAGTGAATTAATAGTAGGAATTGAAAAAAGTGTTTTTGTTGTTTGAATTATCCGTAACTTAAAAAGTCACCGGTCTGTGAATGCAAAAGCATTGCAAAAAGTAGAACAAAAACCTTAAGGATCGAAATTTCTGCCTTCATAAAATAAATATTTCCGTCTTCACCACAAAGAAAATGTCGGATGAAAATTTTTTCAGTACCATAGGCAAACTGCATCACTTTTTCATTACACTAGTACTAAATAACATCACTATAAGAATTAAAAATACGCGCAAATCAAAGAAAGAAAGAAAATATCAGTGCCCGTTCAGCGTACGAGCAAATTGGTTAAGGGTTAAGGATAAGGCACGCAATGAAATGCAATTTAGCGAACTAACAATTATTTTAATTTTTTTAAAATGAAAATGAGAAGATTGGGATCTTATATCTAGGTATCAAAACTTATGTGAAATTGGTATGAAAGCAAACATCCAGGATCCTCATTCCTACTTAAATATGGCAGAGCCTCTCAGACTGCAATCTCTAGATTGAAAAGTGGCCACATAAAGAGTCTTTCTTTTTGTGGAGGCAAGAAGACTTTTGCTCAAGACTCAAGATTCAGCAAGCCTCTCCAGATCATATCTTGGACTGCTTCGGACTTTCGAGGAAGGACCTTTTTTCCTCTTCCCTCAATGGTCTTTTTGGTCTTATCTGACTCCGTCAGACAGACTGAGGATTAGCAACAACAACAACAAGTTATGTGAAGTACATATGAATGATAATGAAGTTAATTAGAATTTAATTTCGATTCCAGAATATCAGACTTTTTAAATTATAACGCTTCATATTAGTTAATGCATACACACTAAGTATGACTAAAAATTCTAAATAAAGCAGAAAGCAAATACACTCGTGTCCATAAATTAAAGATAATTCAGAATCACACAGAAATTGAACTCTAAAATAAAAATTTCCCCTGTAGAATTATCACACACATCTTGAAGAAGAATATGCAAATTACAGGAAACCACCAGATGGTGAAGATAGTACGTCACAATAACGAGAGTGTAAGAGAGGGGTATATAAGGAATGGTGGCAAAGAAGTAAAATTGTTCACAAGCGCTTTAAAAGCCTTTCAGTGCAATAACCGCATAGTTATGGCACAAAGGAAGCAGTTGAATGATTATTTACGTGATAGAATTATTGGACGACTCGACTGTGGACGTACCCAGCTGAAAGTATCCGAAAAGGAATCTCCTCAGTGGCGTAACGGTGAACACTTGGGCCCCCCTGCAAAGTCAGGTTTTGGGCCCCCCAAGTTGGATTTGACAAAAGGTAGGTACTTGGCGATAGTCAGGCTGTGAGCCCTCTAGAGCCCTGGGCCTCCCGCAATGCGGAGATTGTGGGGGTGTACGTTACGCCACTGAATCTCCTAACGTGTCATCTCCAGGCTTTGGCAACGATTCCAAGATAATGGTAATGTGAGTAGATGTTACAGCACAGGTCTCCCCTTAGTTACAACACCGAATGAGGACCGGTATTTGGCAGTTACTGCCAAAAGAAACAGACGGAGCACATCATCAGCCTGTCTCGTCAGCTCTCTTCAGCTAACAGTACGACAGTTTCAAGGCGGACCGTGTGCAAACGCTTTGGGCACATTGGTCTATATGCTCGTAGGCCTGTTAGATGTGTTCCACTTACCGCAACTCACTGTCACCTGAGATTAACCTGGAGTAGAGAGCATGCATTGTGGGCACCACAACAGTGGTCTTGTGTGATGTTTTCCGACGAGTCCAGGTTTAGTTTGCAGTCTAATTCTCGCCGGACTTTAATATGGAGAGCGCCAGGTACCCGTTACCACCAAGAGAACACCACTGAACGACACCGTTACGGTGGTGCAGGATGGCTCGTCTGGGAAGGAATTATTCTTGGTTCCAGAACTGACCTGCATGTTCAGAGTGTAACGATGACAGGCCACATCTATCGGGATGTCATTCTGGAACAACATGTACGTTTGCTTCGGGACGCCATGGGTGTTGAATTTCTGTTTATGGATGACAACGCCCGTCCTCACCGTGCAAACATTGTAGACGAATGCCTTCAATCGGAGGATATCACCCATATGGATTGGCCAGCATATTCACCGGACTTGAACCCAATAGAGCATGTGTGGGATATGTTTGGCCGACGAATTGTAGCCCGTCACCCTCCCTCCCACCTGTCTACGGGAACTTCGGAGGACATTGCTTGATGAGTGGTGTAATATTCCCTAAGATCAGATTGATAATTTGATCCTCTGCATGCCTAGGCGTTGTAAGTCCTGTATTGCATCGTACGGGAGACATACTCCGTATTAACCATCATACTAACCATGTTATACTGTTTTTTTGTAAATAGGTTCTTTTTTGAAATTTGCTCCAGGGAGTAAATATTACAATTTTTATTAATTACGTCAAACATATAGCATCTTTTTTGCTCTTTATCTTTTGTTTAATAAATATACTTTACAAATAAGTCACATTTGTTTTGCTTCTGACTCTATCTTTGCCTGAACTTCATTATCCTTAATTTATGGATATGAGTGTATATAACTGAGTTTGTTTATGTGTGTGTGTGAATTTTTTCATAAGCAGTTGAATGAAAGGAAGTTTTCAAATATCAGAAATCACTGTATTCTAAATTCATTAATCAGTATATATAAATTGTATAGTTATAAATCAGAAGTTCAAATACTGTGAATCCAACAATATATGTTAAGGCTGTTTTCGCCATATGTACAAGAGCGTGACCTTAGCGCGGAGCACATTTTTGGACAGAAAAAATATTTCAATTCTTATAAAAATTTGTGACATTGTAACTCATGCATTTGTTTATATTATAGTGTTTTTAAAATTTTAGAATAGTTCATAAAAAATTAGTTTTCCTATTTAACATGTAAAGGGATAGCTCATTTAGCATTATTATAGTGTAGGAGGAAAAATGCGAAACATATTTTATAAAAGAAAAAATGTGTCAACTCGTATAAAAATGAGTAGTATGATAAAATAAGTGATTCTCTACAGGATAGTGAAGCCAGAATATATGATATTAATGTTTGAGTACTTTTATATATGAAAAAAATATTCATCATTTGAGTCCTATTCTTTAACATTAGCCAAAAACAGCCTTAATACTTAAAATAGAGAAAATCGGGCACTAAGCCAAATTGAGTTAAAAATTTGAAAATGTTACTTATTAATGTTACATGACGAATATAGTGTAAAATAGAAATTTATAAATATTTCATAAAAAACACATATTATTTCCCACATTTTACTTTTTCTACTATTTATTTTAAAACTGCATGGTCCCACTAGAGAAAACACTTTTATTAAATAATTATAAAAAAAAATTTGAAACTCTTAAGAATTTAATAACATTTATTTTAATACAGCTATGATTTCTAAAGGAGATCAACTTTTTAGACTTTTCAAACTTGATGTAAGATTTTGAGACAGGAAAGAATTATTCAGTAACAAGTGAAAAAAACACTCCATGAGTTTTGTTCCTAGATTGAATGTTTATTGTTCTCTATAATGCTTAATACAAATTAAACTTTTCGAAATACTTGCAAAAAACTCAAAACTTATTATACAATTCTCCCTTCTTGAACTACTATTAAATACTTTTTTAAAAATTTCTAATGGGTTCGGATTGGGGATCAACCATTACAGACCTAGTACATTCTCCAGAAGCTGGTACCTCTTTTTAGTACGACACCATATAGGCAGACACCAATCACCGCAGGTAATTTTGACGTTCATTTCCTCCTTAGAGGGAGGTACCTGAGCTCAAACAATGCGAACCTGTACTAGGATTTTATTTTCCCGAGAGCATCAAAGCCAAACAGACACTCTAGGGATCTCTTACATGCCATATACTCATACGACACGGCCGCTGTCGATTTTCTGCATTATGAAAATCTACAGCCCGGGGTCGAACCCGCAACCTTGGGTGCAGAAGGTCAGCAACCAACCACATCACCCAGACTATTAAATACTGTGGCTATAAGGCTGTAAACATCATAAGTAATTCCACACTTTCAAATTAAAAAAAAATGTACAAAATGTTCAATGAATCGAATTATTGCCTACTGCGTAGCAGAATTTGAGAAAAAAAATAATCTACGTAGAATCAAGTTTTTGTCATCTATGACAAGAAATTTGTTTGTAATAACTTTTAAGTCATTATTTCCAAATATTCCAGCCTGAAAATATTTCCCCAATTTTTAAAACATATTCTCAACATAAAACGAAATTAAAACTATGCAAATTTTTAATAGACTAATTTTAAAAAAATAAAACATGTAGAATAAATTCAAAATCACAATAATTTATTTTTTTAAAGAAATTCGTATCAGTCCCATAAAAAATTAAGAGTAAAAATTTCAATAACCTCAACAGCTTTGTTGAGATTTAAATAATTATTATAAAAGATATATTCTCTTGATAAAATTTCCCAACC